GAGGGGTAGAGGTAGACCTAGATTAGATTACTGTTCGCAAATAGTTAAGGATGTGGGCTGTTCTAGTTTTAGGGAAATGCGAAGTTTAGCTCAGGATAGGAAAGAGTGGAGGTACGTGTCCAACCAGTCTTAGGACTGATGACCTTATGATGATGATGATGATATACTCTTGCTCGATTTAGTAAACTGCACATCGTAGATACTAAAATATCAACGAAATCGAAGGCAAGCGTGCAAATCGAGACTTTTACAGTATTAATATTAGGTTTTGAATATAGAAATACTTTATACGAACGATAGTCAACATTTAGTGATTGAGTACATACTAGGGTCAATTGAAAGGTCCCCGGCCTGACACATAGATGGCGGCACCAGAACTAAATCCATATGATTTTCAGTTAGTCCTAACCTTCAAAAGACGCGTCTATAAATTTGACGGCTGTCGGATCATTAGTTTGTGAATTATAGCATTTTTAGTGAAGCAACTTTTGTTATTGTGAAAAAAATGGATAAAAAGGAATTTCGCGTGTTGATAAAATATTGCTTTTTGAAGGGAAAAAATACAGTTGAAGCAAAAACTTGGCTTGATAACGAATTTCCGGACACTGCCCCAGGAAAATCAACCATCAAGGATTGGTATGCTAAGTTTAGACGTGGTGAAATGAGCACCGAAGACGGTGAACGCAGTGGACGCCCAAAAGAGGCTGTTACGGACGAAAACATTAAAAAAATCCACAAAATGATTTTGAATGACCGTAAATTGAAATTGAATGAAATAGCAGACACTCTACAGATATCAACGGAACGTATACATCACATCATTCACGAATATTTGGGTATGAGAAAGCTCTGTGCAAAGTGGGTGCCGCGCGAGCTCACTTTTGACCAAAAACAACGACGAGTTGATGATTCAGAGCAGTGTTTGAAGATGATCACGCGTAATAAACCCGAGTTTTTGCGTCGATATGTGACAATGGATGAAACATGGCTCCATCATTTCACTCCGAAGTCCAATCGACAGTCATCGGAGTGGACTGCACACGATGAACCCGCTCCAAAGCGTGCAAAAACGCAACAGTCGGCTGGCAAGGTTATGGCGTCTGTATTTTGGGATGCGCGTGGAATAATTTTCATTGACTACCTTGAAAAAGGAAGGACCATCAACAGCGACTATTACATAGCGTTATTGGACCGTTTGAAGGACGAAATCGCCGAGAAACGACCGCATTTGCAGAAAAAGAAAGTCCTGCTTCACCAAGACAATGCACCGTCTCACAAGTCAGTGAAAACGATGGCAAAAATTCATGAATTGGGCTTCGAATTGCTTCCGCATCCACCGTATTCTCCAGATCTGGCCCCCAGCGACTACTTCCTGTTCTCAGATCTCAAAAGAATGCTCGTTCGGAAAAAATTTTCGTCGAATGAAGAGGTGATCGCCGAAACTGAGGCCTGTTTTGAAGCAAAGGACAAATCGTACTACAAAAATGGTATCGAAAAGTTGGAGGATCGCTATAATCAGTGTATCACCCTTGAAGGGAATTATGTTGATTAAAAATACGAATTTTGCAAAAAAAATGTGTTTTATTATTTTAGGCCGGGGACTTTTCAATTGACCTGTTATAGGCGCATTAGAACATTAGAGTAAACCAGTCGTTCAACAAGTACCTACTTACACAAAATACGTAATTAGATAAAAGTACTAACAAGATCCTAAATTTGTGGGGTAATTACTTACTTGAATAATGTTGACGCATTGGCAATACCTTCTTCGGTTTCAAGCAAAGTTTCAATTTCGGAAATTGCCGATCTAATCACCTCAACACACGAGGATGAAGCGAGAGCCAGACTGTCGCCGACCACTTCGTAGTATTCTAAAGCGAGACGGTCCAATAATTATAAACATTTTCAGTTGAAATTGTAGTTTTAAAAAATTTATATTTATAAAGCAGCTGCATGTTACAGAGACTAATTAAAACTGATTATTTTGATAGTTAACAAATTAGCCCAAAGTAGTCAAAGGAAGTACGTAGTAGACATATATTACTTTCATGACAGGAGTATCGAGGGCATTTTCGTGAAAGTATTTTTGTGAAAGCACTTTTCTAATAGTAAATAATAATACTAAATTTAACATTTTCTGATAATCATATAAAAAATGCTTTCCTTTCTGCAGCATCCATAATGTGCAACATACTTGTCAGAAAGTCTTCCACATACTTAGGGTTGCCATCCGTCCGGGTTTCCCCGGATTTGTCCTAATTTAGAGGGCATCCGGGTGGGCCTTCATTTGTAGTCCGGGTTTAAAAATTTAAAGTCTTGGGCCTCCCGCGACATACCCACTGTGCTCGCACACACCACGATCAACCGACGAACCGAGTCGCTATATTCACCGTCCCCCCGTATAATTTATTTTTTTTAGGTTTCATATTTTTATAAGGATTTGTTTTCCTAACAAAGTATATTAATAATTTGAGTTTTATTTTAACGATAAAAAATCTAACTGATTATTAAAACAATTTCTAACAAACTGTAATAAGATTCGGTTTTGTTAGGTACATTTAAAATGATGATAAAAAATGACTAAATTTAATTTTAAGGTCTGAAAATAAATAAAAAGGTGATTTATGACATTTTCAACGCTTTTTATTACACTGACTATGTTTAAAAAAACCTGTTGACATGTCCGGGTTCTGGACTCTAAAATCCGGGGTTTTCACGCGTCTTGTCCTGGTTTCCAAATTTTAGAGATGGCAACCCTA